AGACAGAGAGAGCAGACACGCAGGAGACAGAAGAGGGTCCAGGGAGGGGCGTGAGCGGAGGTGAGTGGGTCCTCCTGGACAGGGCAGCTCCAGCCCCTAAACCACTCCCTGGGCTCTTTTTGTGTCTGACTCATAACTGCTTCCAGGCTTGGCCCCCCATGACCTTCCTGCTTAGCAGTCCCTTGGATTGGCCAGAGGGAGATGGAGCAGGGGAGGCAGGCACTCAGGGGGCCTGTCCTGAAATGACTGACCTGTTCTGTTATGAACTTGGCCTCACACAGCTGCAATCTCAGAACAGCTAGGGAAACCGAGGCAGGGGACAACTCTGGACCCCACCTTGGGCTCTTTTTTTACTTCTAAATCACTTTTCTTCCTCACCCCATACAGGAAAGTGGTGGCAGATCAGCCCCCTCCTGTGCTGCCTGAGTCTCCCGAGGCCCCCAGACTCACCGCCACGAAGAACATGGTGAAGAGGTAGACCATGGCCTCCATGTGGAACCGCCTCTTGGCGGCGATGCTGACCGTGGGCAGAAAGGCCAGGCTGCTGAGGGTGGGCAGGAGCAGCTTGGCCACCAGCGTCCCCATGGGCAGGAGGAAGGCTCTGGCGAGTGTGCAGGCCTCCAGGCCCCAGGGCAGGGCTTGCGAGGGAGAAAGCCCCAATGGCAGCTGCAGGGCGACCACAGGAGGGTTTAAATGCCCTGGACAAAGGCAGGGACACCAGAGCACATGTTGAGGACACATGGAGAAGGTCCAACAGCTGATGCGCACGTGACCTACACTTGCCTTGGAGTTATTTATTTATTTATTTATTTTTGAGAGTCTGGAGGAGTTGATTGAAGGAGGCTGTACTTTTTTGCTCTGAGACAAGAGCCTTGGGGAAGAGTCCTTGGTAGTACAATCTCTGAATTCCAGACGTTTTCCATCCTGGCCCCCTCCCCAGAATGAGACCAGGGACTCTGCTCCTTGGGTTACGTGCCTACAAGTGGCAAGAGGTGAGAGAACCCAAGGTTTAGTCTGTTTTAAGCATAAGAGGACTTTGCAGCCCTCAGGTACTATCCTGGCCCCCCTTTCCTAGCAGATGGGTTCACGAAACTAACTTTCTGCCCTGCCTGGTGGCATGTTTCACACCTTAATGGATGAAGACCGGCTCTGGTGGTGCTCCCAGCATGCACCCTCTCAGCTCCTCTCTGCTCTTCTGACGACAGCTCCTTGGCCAGCCCTTCGGAAATTACCTTTTCTTGTTGCAAGAGGTCTTGGGGAGCTGTCTGGCGGGGCGCCTCATCCCTGGACAAGCAATGATGAGTGTGTGGGCCGAGCCACCCGGGCACAGTCTCTTTCTCTGGGTCGACTGACTGATTTGTTGGCAGCAAAAGGAGAGCTTGTGCTTCCATTTTATTTTTTCATCGTGGTGTAATCCACGTAGGACAAAATGCACTGATTTAAAACGCACAGTCTGAGTAGTTTTAACAAGCGCAGACACCTGTGTGACGCCCATGCGGTCATTCCCTTCACCTCAGGATTTCCCCCAGCAGTGGCAGCCGCTAATACGGTTTTGCCCCCACACCCGACTTTGTGGGCTCCAGAACTCCACGTGCGATTGTGCACTCTTCTGGGTCTGGTTTCTTAGGCTCACCAACGTGATGCCTGTGTGATAAGCCATGTTGTGTGGGGGACTGGCAGCTGGGGTGCCTGGGGGGCCCTCTTCCACATTTCTGGCTCTGTCCTCCTGGGAATGGGAACCTGGGGTACGGCAGTGAGGCTGTGGGTCTGCCTCTCCTCTGGGAGGCCACCTTTGCTTCTGTCCGGGGCTCCCACAGACATTTGTGGAATCCTCTTTTTGTCTTAACCCCCAGATATTTGTGGCATCTCCTTTTTGTCTTAAGTCAGCTGGAGCCTGTTACTGCTGCTTGCAATGAAACGTCTGACTCAATGAGTCTGGTTGGGTCATTCTGCTTAAGACTCTTCCAAGGCACCCACAGCCCTCAGGTGACGTCTAAGCATGGACAGAGACCACCAGGCCTCCCATGGCCCAGACTGTGCTCCAGCCCCTGTGCATGACAGGCCCCTCCCTTCCCCAGGCAGCCGCTTCCTGCCCTCCCCTGTCTGGTTTGCCTGCTGCCTCTGGTTGCCCTCCCTCGTCTGGTCTGGTTCGTCTGCTCCCTCTGGTTGCAGACTAGACTGCCTATCTGTGAGGAAGGCTTCATGGCAGACAGTGCTCCACACTCCACGACTAGCTCCCACGCTGTGTCCCCACGTGCCACGTCACTCCTGTCCTGGCACTTGCCACCTGCCGTGGAGCTGTGGGTGTGGGATTGCCTGGTCCATATCCTCTCCAACGGCAGGATCCAGGGCAGGGGCTCTGGCTGGCTGGACCCCTGCCCTAACCTCCCCCCCTCCCCGCCCAATTCTGGCACATGGTGGGTGTTCAGCAAACCCAGCTGAATGAATGACTTTGTTAAAAGAATGAATGAAAGTCCAAGGAGGTGGGGCTGCCGCACATTTCCATCTGGCCTCCAAGGAGCCAGTTCCCTCTCCAAATGGGAAAAGCAGAGGCCGCCTGTGTGCGGCTCTGGGTGGGAGGTGCAGTCCCCCGTGGGCCCATCACAGCTGAGCTGCCGGCCCAGCCCCAGCCCCAGCCCTGGCCCAGCCCTGGCCCAGCTTTCAGCAGGAGTGGAAAACAGTGGCGAGGAAATGCGATTAGATGTCAGGTGCTGTGAGAGGTGGTGGCAGAGGGAGCTCTCCGGAGCCATAAACCCTGCTCAGAAGCAGGAAAACATTCCACAGTTGGTTTTGTGCATGAGTGTATGAGAGTGTGAGTGTGTGTGTGTGTGTGTGTTTTGCAGCTGTAAACTCCAGGGCCAGGGCTGTAAGCTTGGGGAAGGGAAAAAGAGAGTGGAGAGGAGGTGCAGAGGGGGACAGAGCAGCACATGTGTTGCAGCCATTAAGGAGGAAAGGGACCGAGGAGTGACGGTCCCAAAGGGGGTAGACAGGTGGCTGGGCAGGGGCAGCCTAGGAGCCCCTGCAGAAAGGCTGGAACATGAGCTCCCCTCTGAGGGCAGCGCAGTGCAGAGAGGAGGTGGGGGGCAGCCTGTGTGTGGCTCCTGTCCGAGGCCTGGCTGCCTGGATGCAGACCAGCTGGCTCTGGGGAAGGCGTCCAGCTCTCAACAGGACTGAAATGACCCTCGGTTCTCCCTGGAGCAGGGGAAGTGATTGGGCTGGGGAGCTGGAGGGGGCAGAGTAGAAAAGGCAGGCTGGCCGCTTTGGGGTTGTTGCTGCACCTGAGACATAGAGGGCAGGATGGGCCGGGCTGGGCGCCAACTCAACCTGGGCAGGCCCTGAGCCAGCAGAGACGTGATCTGGCGGCCTTGGTCCTTCCCACCTGCCAGCCCACCGTTCAGGGCTTCCTACCCCCCACCCACCCTCACCTGCTGGGGCTTCAGCCAGACCAGACCCCACAGCTGCACGCCCTCCACCCTCTGGCCCTCTGCATAGCTTCCTGGGGTCATGAGGAGCCTCAGCCCCTCCAACCCCCAGCAGGGTGGGACTCTCTTTTCTCAGAAGCCCCACAGCATTGAGTGCATCTTGAAAACCACTTATGTGACGGGCATGTGTCCAGCTTCAGCTGTGTGCCAGGGACTCTTCACGCCTTGTCTCAGTGGCTGGGGTGGATGCCTCTACTCTCCCCATTTCACAGAGGCTGAGACTGAGGCCCAGAGAGGAGGGGGACCTGCTCAAGATCATCCCCAAAACACAACTCCCCTCCCCTTCCCTGTCTCCTTCCCCATGTACCTCTGGTGGCCCGCACCTATCCCAGTGGCACCCGGCAGGCCAGTCCTGAGCCATACAGAGGGAGCAAGGGCCTGACCTACCCACACTCCCCAGTCTTGCCCCCAGCTGCAGGAGTGCCACCGTTATATACAGGTGCTACGATGCCTGGAATACCTCGCAGCTCCGACCTCCTAGACAGCTGTCTGCCGGCCCAGGGAGCTAGCCAGCTGCTGCCTCTGTGTCCTCCACATTTGGATACCAGCCCCCAAGGGTCACTCCAGAGTGCAGTGGCCCTGTGCCTTAGCTCTTGTGTGAGGCTCACCAAGGCTTCCTACACCTGGTGGGAGGGGGTGTGGGGTCCCCATGCCCAGAGTGGCATCACAGGTATCTGCCTGGCACAGTGTGGTGCGTGTCCGTGTGTGTCTGCACTGTGATTGTGATTCTCAGATGTCATCTTCAGCTGCTCCAGCCACCTCCAGCTCTGATCACCTGCCAGATGAGCCAGGCAGAGGGCTCCACCCTCCCCCCAGCACCTCAGCATGGCTTTTGCCCCATGGGCCTCAGTTTCCTTGTCAGAGCACCTGCCCCAGGTTTGCTGTGAGCACTGAGGAGCACACATGCCAAGAGCCCCCGGGTGCTCTCCCCTGCATCTACAGAGGGGTCAAGGGCTTCCCACTGGCGCTGCCTGGGGATGGGGGTCTGGGATTGAAGCCAAGGCTTCCGTACCTGGCCCGGCCCTTGCTGTTACCTGCTGTTCATGGCAGCACTGCTGGACGCTCCTGGAAAGTGCCCTCCACATGGTGAGGCTGATCAGCTGGCCATACATAGGCTCAGTAACAGCCATGGCCAGAGTCCCCTGTGGGCCAGGAATCCTGACCCATCACAGCCACAGCTCCTGGGGGCCCAGCCTGTCATCGGGGATGAGACCTGTGGCAGGGAGGGGCAGTAGATCCTCCTTGCTGGCTTCTGCAGGTTTGCTGGGAGGTCAGTAATCGCTGTTGTTGGCGCCGTCTCCCAGAAGGCCAGGCCCTATCGCCCTGGGCAGGCAGTGACATCCAAGACCTGGGAGACACGGTGCCCAGCCACCTCACTGGCCCTCATGGGGACCTATCTGTCCAGTGTGGCTTTCCTTCCTGGTGGTGTGGCAGTAAGCTGGCTTCCAGCCTGCCACACTGGGCTCCCCAGCCCCCTTCTTGCTCTGGATCTGGGGATAAAGACCTGCTTTATCATGGAGTCTTAGACCAAGAGTGGCCCGAGCAGTCTTTGCATAGGCCTGAGTGCCTCCAGCTCAAACTTCTAGCCTTAGTCTAAGACAGGGGTCCTCAGACTTTTTAAACAGGGGCCAGTTCACTCAGACAGTTGGAGGGCCGGACTGGAGGCCCCAGGACAAGTCGGCTGCTAAGCAGGACAGGCAGCGGAGGCAAAAACACCCGGCGGGCTGGAGAAATGTCCTAGGCGGGCCACATGTGGCCCACGGGCCGTAGTTTGAGGATGCCTGGTCTAAGAGGAATATGCCTGTGTGCCTGGCTACGGATGAGGAGAAGCAAGCTCTGTGGTCCAGCTGGCGGCTTCCTCAGGGCAGGTGTAGGGTGGGGTGCCACCCAGGGGGGTCCTGGGAAGGGACACTCCTGGGGAAACTGGAGTGCCCCAGTGTTCTGGGGGAACGAGTAGGCCAGCCCAGCCCCACCTTGCAGTGATCCACAGGCTGCCCCTGCCCTCTCGATGGGCCCGAGTCCTCTCTCCTCCCAGCCACCTGCCTGCCCTGCTGGCTTCTCTGCATCATAACCTCCCTATCAGTCCTCACTGGGGAGCCCCTGGCAGAAAAAGGAGGGGCCGAGTCCGGGCTGTGAGGAGGGGCCTGCATCTGGGCCCAGTGGCAGGCTGAGCACCCATGCTACTCTTGGTGCCTTTGGGACCCAGGGGCGCCTACTCCTGGACTCATAGTTGATGGACCAGCCTGTGAGGGTCAGC